AGTACTGTGAACCAACAGTTCTTATCAATGCTTACTGGTCAAGTGGAGCAGCATAGCTGATATATGGGAACATCCTAGGAGCCATAAACACATATCAGTTTGGATATAGCCTTTCACTTCCTTTTCTGTCTGGCTAAGATGACTCCAAAAAATAAATTCACACGCACACTCAGGTTCTAAAGAAAATGTCTCCTGATAAGTTGGTTGAGGAGACTCTTTCCTCTTATGATATATGATAATATAATTAAAGTCCTGGTAGGTTTCAGGTGTTCAAAGCGTTAGCCACTTCCCTCATTGAGTCTACTGAGACCTCAGCAAGCCCAAGCAGGTGGTGAATATGGTGACTTCAGTAACCAAATGAAGGCAGTGAGCACTTGAAAAGCTGCCCACAATGACTCTTTAGAGTGTCACTGAGGGTGTGGTTCAAGATGTGTAGAAAATGTATGTCCTAAACCCTTGGAAATGACTTCAAGGGAATCTGAAATGGTTGGGGAAATCAATGAAAAGCACTAACGTTTAGGGAGATGTTCACCAAGCTTTGGACTTCTCCTCACTATCTATTTAGAATCAACCATGACTACTAGACTATGGAAAACCTTGCCAGGGCAGATGTAGGGCTTCCCTACCATACACTCAGATCTTCATGCATAATGAAAAAGATGCCCCCTCTGGGTAGAGGAAATGCCAAAAGGCATCCCCCCTAGGTGGACAAATTCTAGGTTGCTATAACCCCAGGCCTAAATTTACAGTCTGGGAACCTAGGGCAGGCTGGATTTCAGCCCTCACTCATCACCTTGGCCAGCTGTCCTTGTGCAAGACATACTTATACCATCCTCCAGACAGATGTCTGTGAGTTGATACAGTAGGGTGTGTGTGTGTGTGTGTGTGTGTGTGTGTGTGTGTGTGTGTGCGCGCGCACGCGCACGTGTGCGTGCACATCCTATTCTCTTTTATGAAAATGAATCACTTCTTTGGATAAAAAGGGAACCTAAAAAATGAGGAATTTCTTGCTCCTTTATAGTGGGAAACCTAGAAAACCTCTCAGTTTAAAAGAGCCCAAATTATTCAATCCTGCCTTGCCCATAGACCTCCTTTTCTTATAAGGTGTGTCCTGCTTTTGCAGGGGACAAGGGGAAAACATCGTAAAACAGAAATAATAATACCCTCCTCCATTCTACCTCTCAGCATTGTTAGGAGGCTCAAATGAGACCATGTACAAAATCCCTCTCTATGAACCCCAAAGCACTACATCAGCATAAATTATTATCTGGAGGGAAAGGATGTGGCCATTCATTCATACACATACCTGCTTCGTGTCTTCGCCCCCAGCCGGTCACCCAGCACTTCTCCCCACTGCGTACTTTCTGGCCAGCAGGAGGAATGCATATTGGCTGTATGAGCTGTTTCAGGGTCTCAGGCCAGGCGACACTGAGCTGTAGCAAGGCAATATCATAGTCAAAAGTCTGGCTGTTATAGTACTCGTGGACCACAATTCTTCTCACCGGGGAGATGAACTTGGCATTCCCCTGCACATACATCCCGAGGTGAGCAGTCCATGGTGTGGGGTCTGACAGCCTGCTAGAAAAAGAATGAAGTATGAAATCAGTGGACTGATGAACAATACATGGTGAAACCAGCACTCTGCAGAGAGACGAGGGCTGACTTACAGTCTCTATCGTAGTCACTGGCTTTGTTCACTGACATGGCAAGAAGCACAACTTCTCTGAGCCTCCCTTGTCTCCTTACTAAAACCAGAGATGAAGTGAGGTGTAGTAAGGGGGGGTAAATGATAGCTATGTTCCAGAAAATTCCCTCGACAACATCCTAAGGAAATGCTGGAAATTTTATTGTCACTGGTATTTCATGACTACATACAGGTCAAGCATGTTAGTGACGAGAATTAATGTTCTGGTCTTTCTATTCATGCTGACAATGGTATTTGATGGAGACAGCCAGCCAGGACCAGTAAGACAGTGGTCTGGGGATTGTTTTGCCAAATTTAAATGATATGAATACCAAAATAGATTAGAAATCAGTGTCACAAGCAGGAATTTAATGAAATTGCTTGTTGCAAACTGCCAGAAGCTTCACACATCACTGCTCAGGCGTAACCATTCACAGGGGTCACACTCCCTTTAGTCTTCCAGAATTCTGTGAACTTTCATGAAGTCACCGAGTATGAGTAGTCGCCATGTGAGGTTTCCATCTCTACCGGCACAGTAGCCTTATTATGGTGGGGTGAAGAGAATTTGGAAGGTTTGGGGAAAAAATAAGGACAGATTCCAGGGTGTGGCCCCTAATTTGCTTAGCTGACATCTCATGAGTGGTTCTGGGGAACCCATGGGAGTATCAAGGTTAACATATTATTTGAAGCAGTTACTTTGCATAAAAGATTAATGATCAAAACAGAAGGCATTTTAGTTATTTACCTGAATCTTGTGATTTCCAGGAGAAGCAAACACTCTGATAAATTTGTTGAAATACTCCACTTAAAATTTTTTTGAAGAAGAAATAAATGGTATTTTTGTATTTAAGATCTAGTAGGTTATATTTTTTTATTATTATTCTATTGGGGAACAGTGTGTTTTTCTAGGACCCATCAGCTCCAAGTCAAGTAGTTGTTTCAGTCTAGTCAGTGGCCCATATGGGGATCAAACTGGCAACTTTGGTGTTATGAGCACTGCACTCTAACCAACTGAGCTAACCGGCCGCCCCAAGTAGTAGGTTACATTTTAAGTGAAGGTATTTTCTAAGCTTTCCTTTCACCTTTACCTAGAAGACCATCTGCCCCATAATAATCCCACTGGTAAAGACAGAGCCCTTCTAAGATAACATTAATGGATGTGTCCAGGACCCTCCTCTGTGATATTATGATTTATAATAAAAAATATTTATTTGGTCTTTGGTCCACTTCTGGCACAGAGTTCCTAAAACCCTTAGAATTTCCTAAGTGATGAGAGGGACAAAGGGTGCCTTTTGTTATGTTAAAGAGATGACTCTGAGATCCACCTAAGCTTGGTGGCTGGTTGCCAGGAAAATCAAACATGTGATTAGAGGGTTGGAACTTTCAGTCCCACCCCCAGGACCTGGGAGAGGAAAGAGGGGCTGGAGGTTGAATCTATCGTCAGTGGCCAATGATTTAATCAATCATGCCTATGTAATGACGCCTCCACAAGAACCTGAAAGGACAGGGTTCAGAGAGCTTCCGGGTTGGTGAACACATGGAGATTTGGGGAGAGTGTCTCACTCAGAGAGGGCATGGAAGCTCTGTGACCTTTCCCATACCTCAGCCTGTGCTCCTCTTTCATCTGGCTATTCCTGAGTTATATCCTTTTATAATAAATCTGTAATCCAATAGGTAAAATGTTTCTCTGAGTTATATGAGTCTCTCTAGCAAATTAATCAAACCCAAGAAGGAGGTTGGAACCTCCAATCTATGGCTAGTTGGTCAGAAGTAGAGGTGACAACCTGGACTTGCTATTGGCACCTGAAATAAGGGGGGGTCAATCTTGTAGGACTGGGACCTTAACCTGTGGGAATGGCACTATCTCAGGTAGGTAGTATCAGAATTGAGTTGAATCGTAGGACACTCAGGTAGTGTTGGAAAATTGCTTGGTGGTGTGGGAACCCCCACCACCACATTGGAAATTGGGTGCACTCTAAAAAGGGATCCCTACACTCCAGCCACCCTTCACCGCCACTCTTCACCACATTATCCACACATCCCCATAGGTTTGCTCCCTCTGACTTGAAAGCCCTATTCTATTTTTTTTATAATAGTTTAGTAAAAGCCTATTCATTCTTGATGTTCCTTTGTGTGTGTGTGTGTGTGTGTGTGTGTGTGTGTGTGTGTGTGTGTGTTTNAAGAAGAAATTAGAAGAGGCCACGTTTAGTTAGCCAGGCCCAATGAAGCAACCCTAAGGATCACTGGCCAACAGCTGTCACAGACAAATCACTCTCACTTGAGAGTCCCTTCTGATACCTCAACTCCACAAAGCAAAGCCTGAAATAATTAAAAGTTTAAACATAATTTTTACAGTATTCATCATTTAAATTATAATATGTGGATTTTTATTTTCTCATTTTGGAGACTAAGTAAAGCTGCAACTTACTCAGAAGCCAAGATAAAAAAGCTTTTCAAATTTGCCCCTGTATCACACCCCCACAATTCTAAACCTGATTGGGTAAATTCTGACTAGCAGAGAAACTAGACTCTTTTTATTTTAATTATTGCCATACCAACTCTACTAAGTCTAATTTAACCTGTAAATCCCGGTGGCTATGAGAAAGAGGACTATATAATAGGACTGGCTGGGACTGCTGCAGGAAGCACCCAGAGCCCAGTAGTGTTAACATTAGATAAATAAAGGTTCAAATCCCAGCTCAGGCATTACTTACTATCTATGTGACCTTGGGTAATTTACTTACTCTCTCTGTGCCCCAGTTTCCTCTTCTGTAAAATGGAGATGAAACACTTACTTGAATGAATTTGTGTAAAGGACCTAGCACAGTGCTTGCCACAAAATAGGAACTCAGAAGATAGAAATCATTATTATAATAAAACAAGTTTCTGTGGTATGGTGGCTCAGGTGTGGAAAGACGTGGAACCAGCTCCCGCTGTCCTCTTCATCTCCTTAATCATCCGTTCGTTTTTTGGCAATCATTTAGATATCTGCATAGACTGGAATCTGAGGCTCAGAAAAATGTCCCCCCATGAAAGTGACCTCCAACTTTACTACTGTCAGGGGGTGATAGAGTGTCCTCTGTCACCTCTCCCTCTTTCCTTTCCCACAGTCTATGTTTCAAAGGAGTAAGTGAATAAAACCCTTGTTATTTCAGAAGGTAAATGGTTGTTGCTAAG